AGGCCAATCTACTTTCCCCTGCAATCTTCTATTATTCATTGCAATAGTCACCCAGAGCTCACAAACAGTGCTCTCAATTATGGGCTTATTAGGGAAGCTACCCGGTTACGTTCAGGTTAGAAATGTTCAGGAGACAGTTGTTTAGTCAGAACATGTTACAAAGCCCTTTTAGGAATGCTGATAAATGCCCAAAGGACTTGCATTACACTGTAAGCCTTAACTGAAGACTTTTCCGTTTCAGCTTCATTGGTCAGCAAACCCAGCTCTCCTAATTAAGTGCCCAGAGACATCCCACTCCACAAGCTTCAATCCAAAGGCTCTCAGTGACAGCTCTGTGGGTCAGCAATCTGGCTTCCTGAAGAAGTGCGCACAGGAATCCCACACTACAAGCCAGCCTTCTCCCTGGAAGTGCTCAGCTTTATTTGCTCTGTGGGCTGGAAGTCCCCCTGCTCTATCTCATGCTTCGGCTTCTGGTTCTGCTGCTGCTGCTTCTCTGCCACTTCTTTGATGTCAAGTTGTCTTCCTGGATCCAGGAGGCTCGCTGTACATGCATCTCGGGTCCCAGAGGACACATTCTATTCCTGGCCTTGGTGGTAGTGAAATGACCCCTCCTGCTTCTCATATGGTTCACTTTATACCTAGCAAAATGGAGTCACTCACAGCTGAATAATATAATAATCAATTAGAATCTCACCCACCTTCTTGCCCCGACCCATCTGGAAAAAGTCTTTTGTTGGAAGTGATAGAGCCTATGGCTAGAAGAGCCATATTAAATAATTAACTGCCTTGCAGGGGTCTACTATTCGTTATCCATGATTTTGTTTTCTTACTTTCGAACTCTAAAAGCTACAATTAATTGCTCTCGGTTGAGGCAGGGAAGAAAGAGCAAGCAAATTAAATGTCAGATAAAGGTGAAAATTATGGAAATTCATAATGCTCTTTGACTGTTTTAATGGACAGAAAACGTTGAATAACTGCTGAGTGATGCCTTGGATTATACTCATTCATTAGTAAAGGGGAAAAAAGTAGAATTGGGACAGGGTACTGTTTTGATTTCATAGTGAACTTTTAAAAGCACATTTCTTTTAATTCTTGATGTACTAGTATGCTAGCTTTAAGAAAACTAATATGTTGAAAATACTAAACTCATGAAGTTGGCAAAGTAGATAAACCCACATTACCTAAAGATTTGAAAAATGATCCTCATCACTCACCCTCAGACCTGATTTTAATTGTGGGCAACAGGCAAACTTTGTTCTTAACACTTCTGAGAATTGTAGCAAAGTGTGAAGTTCAGAAAACGAGACTGGAAAACACTGCTTTCCTCTCATTTGAAACTACCTTTTTCTAGTTCCCCATAGACCTGGCCTTCGCATTGGCTCTCACGTAAGCTACAGTGTTTTGTGGTGCTGAGATATTCCACCTGTAAGTGGTGTATGTCAAGGTTTTGGGGGGTATATGTGCCTCCAAACAGTCTTTCAATAGCTTTTGTTTTGAAAAATCCTTTTCCTGTCCTCCTCTTCATTTGAATCATGAGTCCATTTTGAATTTATTTTAGTCCAAAGATGGAATGTGCTTTATCCAGATATTATGGTTGACTACTCCTTAGTGTTGAACTTGGACCTGGTGAAAATGGACAGGCTTCCAGACAGAAGAACTAAATCTTTAGGTTGCACATCCTTCTGAGCTACGGTGCAGGACCCATTTGTTTTTAGACATTTTAATTGATTCTATTGAAGTATAGTGATATACAAAAAACACACTGGTTTTGTGAGTTTCCACAATAATGTATACTATGTGGCTACCTGCCACCTCAGTCAAAATATAGGACATTTTCATTCCCTCACACAGTCCTTTCATTCCCCTTTGCAGGTAACACCTAAGCCCATTCAGCTGAGTTAGGTTTTAGACCCAGATATCCTGACTGCAGAGCCTGAGTTCCTAACCATTATACTACACTGTTTTCCTAGCTGAAGGTTCCTTTTCTTTACATCTACTGGGTGGTAGCTTGTTTAATATATTTGTATGGTCATTCATTAATTAGTTATTTATTCATAGGCTGGAAGGAATACATAGCATCATGATTCATTCTGAAACCGTAGTAGTCTCTTTCATCCAGTCTTTTTCTTGACCTGCCACGAAGAGTTGTCTATAAATCATCTGTTCAATAGGTAGTGCAATACTGGCAAACAGCTAGAATACCTCTTGGATATTTGCCTTATGCGACCATAAAAATCATGCATTAGTTTATTAAAGTATCTCATTCATTTTTTGGAATTTGGTTGGGTTATGTAAATTTAATTGGTTTAATAGTTTAAATGTTTTAACAAGATTATAGATAGATGGGTTGCATAGCCTTTATGCCTCGTGTAGTATGGAGAAGATGCCCCTTTTCTGCCACCTAGGTATGTGTAATCCTAAAGTGAATTGTAGAGGCTTTGTGATAACAAGAGTTTTGTTTATTTGTTCTGTTTTTCTCTTCTAGGGCTTTTCCAGATTTCTCAGAACAAAGTAGCAGTTCTTCTTCTAGCTGGTGGGCAGGGGACAAGACTCGGAGTCGCATATCCCAAGGGGATGTATGATGTTGGCTTGCCATCCCATAAAACACTTTTCCAGATTCAAGCAGAGCGCATCCTGAAACTACAGCAGTTAGCTGAGAAATATGGCAACAAATGCATTATTCCCTGGTAAGACATGTCTCATGGGGAGGTATCAGGACATATATTGATTTATAATATTTAAATGCATATAGTTTATTCATAATCCAGGCATATATCCTGTTACTACTGATTTTCTTGGCAAGTATCATTTACTGTGTATGTTAAAAGCAGTATTATAGGTCAAAAAAATCACTATATCCTCAATAAGCTACATGTATACTCCCATCCAGTTTTTATATCTCTGCCTGAGTACCTGTGGGTACTCAGTAGGTCTCCTCTTAGTCTAGAAACTGATCAATAGTTTGTCTAGGTGGTACAATCTCCGGTGTAAAAGCATTTTGTAGTATTAAGTTTGGGGTGGGTAGGGGGCCAGCCCCCACTGCTACTACTACCCATGGGTTCAGTGAGCACAATTGTACTGTTGAGATATGTAAGTATTATATTAAAGTCATCGAGTGCATGAGAGGTAGAGGAGAGATATTACAATAATGCAGTCAGACACATTACATGGTAGCATTGCTCACCTCAGCCCAGCTTGGTGGTCCACGTGGAGAGAGGGGGAAGGGAAGGAGGGCCAGGGAACAAGGGAGAGAGGATGGGAGAGGAGAAGGGGGTAGAGAGGGGAGTGACCAGGGAGAGAGAGAAACTTTAATGCTTCCCAAGCTTTTATCCTCTCTCGGGACGTGCCAGCCCCCTAATTACAGGTGAAGACACACGTCACAGGAAGGAGTTGCACTATAAGTTATACAGTAAAGAGAGGGGGTGGTCTAGGGACATACATGCAATAGGAAGAGGAGGGATTGGGGGTACCCATGTGACAAGATGGGCGGATCCTAGATTTAGGATGGCAGATTAACTTTGACCTGTTCCTGGGTCTCCATATGAACCATTATCAGTAGGGTGTAAACCCCTCCTACAGGAATCAAGCTAATGGTCCCAAGCTTCAGAGAGAAGTAGTCCATTGTCTCCAGCAGCAGGGAGCAGGCCCAGTGCAGTCTGGCAACTGATCACCTTGGGGGTGGTGGTGGGGAATGCCTGCGCATCTGACCTCCCCCCACAGCGTTTTACCTCTGAAATTTGAAAGCATTGCTTTTTGGTTTCTAGCATTGTTGAGAGGCCCTAAGCCATTCTAATGTCCAACATCCCCCTTACCCAACCCCCCAACTTTCAAAGCATGTGTGGTGTCTCCTTTGCAATTTCCGGATGATGGGGTATGGGTCTTTTTTCACCCATTGCTCAGGGCATTAAGTGGGCTCTCTCAATCTAGAAACTCACACCACCAGGTCTTCTAGGCTCTTGGCAAGTACAGCGTCAAAGCTTAGCAAGTGTCCCTGCATACTTCATTGTCCAACTTCATTCCCACGCCAACTGACAGTCCGCCTGGTTTACTGCTATGAACCAGACTCAGTTTCTGAGTCCCTGCTGGGGAACCTGCAGATGGGGTCAGTGGTTCATGTGCTCAGCTGAAGCTCACCCCGAGGCACCTCAAGAGAAAAGCCTGGTGACCTGTTTCTGAAAAACCAGCCTTTGAAAACTTTAAGGAGCCCGGCTTTACTCTGACATACCTAGGTCGCCATGAGTCAGAGTGATTCAGTGGCAGATAATACTAAACTACTAATCTCATGGGCCTTCCCTCAGATACTGTTTCTTAAACACCAAGAGATTACAGGAAATTGCTCATTGCTTTCTGAAAAGTTGGGTTTAGCGCATTAATATCCTTCCCAGAGCAGCGTGTGAAGCTAACACGTTTCTAACCTTGTCAGTCAGCCCCAGGAGACCAACACAAACTCCCCTGGCTTCTCTGTTCCCTAGCAGTTGTCTTCTGCCTGGTCCAGACCCCGATTCTCTGCCACTAGCCAGGATCCCAAATCAGCAAATGCTCTAGGAAAAGGCAGCTCCTTATCCGCAGTTCCTCTTTCAATGATTCCCCCTCTGCAGAATTTTAGTTCCAGTTCTTGCTGTTTCTGTAGCTCTCAGATGCCTTTTGAAAATCCCGAGCTTTTCTAGTTCTCAGCACGGTGTTGGCCGGTGGTGAGTGTGTTTTGCCATCTTGATTCCTCTGGGGGCTTTTGAGAGACAGCTGTGTTCCTGATGGCCAGCATTCAGCTTACAGCCCTGGCCTCCCACGAGCAAGTTGGGCTTTCTTCTCTCTTCCTCCCACCTCCTCCCAATTCAGAATTTCTCTTCTTTTCTGATACAGAGCAGTTGAGCCAAACATTTTGTCATCTCCTTCTAAATCATGATCAAACCTCAACCAAAGTTTATTTGGTTAAAGAGACAGACAGCCACTGTGGTGGGAAATAATACTTGCTTCATTTGTTTGTTTGTTCAACAAATATTCATGAAATGCCTGCTTACATCTAGGTCTATCTATAGCAGCAATAGACAAACATCTCCCTGTGGATGTACTTAACCGTCTAGAAAGGACAAATGCTACTGCCATCACCAAGGGCTATTTCCGATAGCACTTGGTCTCTTGTGCCATGGCCATTGCCACCGGGCTTGAGTGTTTGTGACGGCACAGGGCACGATTATGCGCTTGTCACTCTAAATGGGTAGTGAGCAGAGACTAGAGCTCACATTCCATGTTCAAATTTTAGTAAGAATAGTAAGAACTTACTAGAATGCAGTACAGTTATAAGTTTTTCCTCTATTTATTTAGAAGAGTTTTTAATTCCAGCATGCTTACTTTAGCCAGTTACAAGTTCTTTGATGCAGAAGATATGTTTAATATTGTTAGATTTTTTTTTTAAATAGTCACTAAGGTTGATAATATTACTGCATAAATGTGCCTTTTCAGGAAAAGGACAAGGGAACCCAAAGCAAGGGGTCCTGCTCCTAAAGATTATCTTTAGCCTAGGGAAAAAGAACTTCATTTTGCCCTAACTTACATAGCATTATTACTTTGAAGATTTTCTTTTTCTTGCAAGGTATATAATGACCAGTGGCAGAACAATGGAATCTACAAAGGAGTTCTTTGCAAAGCACAAGTACTTTGGTTTAAAAAAGGAGAATGTAATCTTTTTTCAGCAGGGAATGCTGCCTGCTATGAAGTTTGATGGGAAAATTATTTTGGAAGAAAAGGGCAAAATTTCTATGGCTCCAGGTTTGTATTGACTCTTAATTTATGGTGATCAGAAATGCTCATAATATGGGTCATTCATTATATATTTTTTTCCTTTTTGAGATGGAAATTTGGATGCTAAAATTAATGTGTGTGTTTAATTTGGTAATGATTGAAAAAAAATGAAAACAATAGTGAAATGGATACTTGGGTACTTTTTGTAGAAATCTGCCCAGAGAGCATTTTGGGGGGAATTCAGTGTGTTCATTCTTTTTGTTCTGTATTTTATGTACCCAAGGTTCATGCTACATGATTTATTAGTGAAAAAAATGGAAATACTGTGTTACTGAGAGGCTAAATTATACTTTATCCAGCATTAACTGTCTTAAACAAGGTGAAATAATTGGAGGCATTCAGTCACAAAGGGAAATAGTGTGAGTGGGTTAACAGGAAGCACGATACAAAAGACATCCTAAGTATGATAGGGCCACCACTTTGCATAATTCCAGGGGCTCCATGCCCTCTGTTGTTTGTTTCTGGTGCCCCTGGCACTGGCCAGTGTGTGCCCGTGTCTTCACATGCAGGGGTCCTGAGTGTGACCCTAGTGAGGGAGTCATACCTGTGAGAATCTATACTCAGTGACTGAAAGGAAAGAACCAGTAGAATTCACAGCGGAGACCTCCATTTGTAGGCTTGTAGTTCAACTTACTTCTTTCTCGTTAATGGAAGAGAAATTTACTATCCTTGGATCTACTTTGTGAGGTATTCTAATTTTTTCTTAAATTCACAACATTTGATTTTCTTAATCATTTAACCAGTGCCTGAGTTTGTTGAGTAAAGAAATCCATAAAAGCAGCACTAAAAATAGAGGAGAGGAAACGTCTTAGATTTAGTTTAAGCCACAGTAGACTCCTATTAATTAATTTTTAAATGCAAATTATTTCGTATAAAATGTTGATCTGTTTTTGAGATGAGGGCTAGTCAGTGTTGGGTTGATAAATGCCGCAATGTTAACAAGTCATACAAATACTAGCAAAATTTGAAGTAATCCTTATCTGATGAAAAGGATTTCATATTTCTCAATGAGAAGTGTAAGAAAGATGGTTCAAAAGGAAAAGAATAATTTTGGAGGTTGCCTTGTTCAAGAATAATAATATCATCTTCCAGATATTATATTAGTGTTTCAAAGCATACAGTATAACACTGAACAGCTGAATCCTTCCTCAATGATATTTCATTTCCTTGACCCTCTGATGTGAGGTTGTGCTCTCAGAGACCTTCACCTTGGTGTGGAAACATGAAGCAATCCTTGGGTGGCCGACGTAAACATGGGTTTTGACGTGCTCCTTCTGGGCTGTTTATTTCCCAGATGGGAATGGTGGTCTGTACCGGGCTCTGGCAGCCCAGAACATTGTGGAAGACATGGAGCAGAGGGGCATTTGGAGCATTCATGTCTATTGTGTTGACAACATATTAGTGAAAGTAGCAGACCCCCGCTTCATCGGATTCTGCATTCAGAAAGGAGCAGACTGTGGAGCAAAGGTAATGCCTTTCTCATGCATATCATAAGTCATATTTCCCGGTCAGTGTATATATTCTAGGAGCCATACTTGGTTTTTCAGTGTAATTTGAATACTTCAGATCCATTCTTGCTTCTAAGGTACTTATACTAGCCTTTCCTCGTTTTTTTCTTAAATTCACAACATTTGATTTTAGAAACAATCATAGACCTCAATAAGAGCTTAAAACATGATTTGTAAGTACTTGGGAAAATGAATAGTAATCATTAGTGTGGGATGGATTCATTCGTGGGATTACATATCAACTTGTGCTTGATCAGGCTAATTTATTTTCTTGTTATGATAAAATTACTAGAGTAGTAGATAAGGAAGGTGCGGTAGAAATAGCAGATTGAGAATTTAGCAAGGCATTCGACCAGTAATTTCATGGTGTCCTTGTTAATAAGATGAAGATATGTAGGTTGGGTATAAGGACAACTAAGAAGATTAATAACTTCTTGAGTGACCACAAACACACTGATAGAGAAGTTTACATTCCAAAAATAAGACTGTTATTGGCAGTACTCTTTTGCTTTTTATTTTTCAGTCAAAGAAATGAGGTATAGGAGGTAGGCCTCTTTGGTGGTAAGCAAAATATGTAATATATTTGGCAATAAAGTAAGACACATGCAGCTCTTTAGAAGACTTAATCAAGACATAAATACTACTTTCCTGAATGAAAAGATTTAAGTCTGGGAAGGTATCAGCTCTCACCAAATTAATGTAAGACACAAACTCAATCAGAATCCTACTCAAATTACTTTGGGGATATTTGACAACAATTGTGAAGTTAAGAATAAGCATATAAATATTATCATGAAAATAATGACAACTGGATAATGATGGCAGGGAGGGATGATGGGAGACAATCTACCCAATATTAAAATGGGTTATCAAAAAAAGAAAAGAACAGTAATTTGTGTGGTGCACTCACCTTTAAATGATAGATGAATGGAACAGAGTAGAAACTATCCATCTCTATATAAGAATGTACTGTATAAGATTGCGGCTCTTCAAGTCTGTAAAGAGAAGCGTGCACTATTCAGTAAATGAAGTAGAACAGCTGAAAAGAACCCAGACCTCTGCCTCAAAGTTCATAGCAAAATTGTTTTAAGATGGGTTATATAGTTAAGGACAAAAAATTAAACCTATAAAAGTGGTAGAAGAAAATCTAGAGTAATTTTACAATATCGATGTGATGGGGTGACCTTTCTACCTAAAGCTGAAACTTCTGACAAAAGCAGACTATATATAAACGTGGAATTTCTGGATTTAAAAATAGAAGACCTGGCATAAGAGATGTATCATATTCCTGGTTGGAGATTTTTCTATTATAAATATGTCATTTATCTCAAAATTAATCTATAAATCTAATGGGAAGTCACAGCCAAAAGCTGAAGTCTTAAATTTTTTTTAACAATTATTTTATTGGGGCTCATACAATTATCACAATCCATACATACGTCCATTGTGTCAACCACATATGTACATTTGTTGCCCTCATCATTCTCAAAACATTTGCCTTCTACTTTAGCCTTTAATATCAGTTGCTCATTTCCCCCCTCCCTTTCCCTTCCCCCTCCCTCATGAACCCTTCATAATTCATAAATTATT